TGATAAATTAGAAAGTCTCCAAAAGAGAGCTATTAAATGGATTCTGTCTGAAGAGGGCCGCAGTTATCCACCTGAGCAATATGTCAAAAAGTGCAAGCTTGTCGACATTCTCCCTTTGTCTCAAAAGTTTGACTTGAATGATCTTATTTTTTTCCACAAAGTTCTGAACAATTTAATTCCTGTATGGCTGCCTCACTATCTCACTTTATATCAGGGCACTTCTCGACTAAGACGTTGCCACCTCGACAGTCTGTCTATTGTGTCATCAATTTTACCTAAGTTAAGTCAGAATTCACACACCTTATGTACCTCAAATAGCCCACTGGCAAAATCATTTTTCTACAGAACCCATATACTGTGGAATGGACTCCCTTTACAGGTAAGACAGATTGTGTCTACAAGTGTTTTCAAAGCTGAGGTCACTAAGCATCTATGGAAATATTTATTGGATAGTGAAACAACAGCCTAGCCTAGTCTCTTTGCTCCCCATATTATTATTATTTTTGTTTTATTAATTTTTTTATCTACCTTCCTATACTTTCAACATCATATCACACTTCACCCGCACACCTCACACATTAATGACCATATCAGACCTGTATCTAATGTATCTGGAATTTGACGTATTGAAATACCAATTTTGACTATATATCCACAGTTATTCACCATGGATTTGTTTGTTATTAAATAGTTTTTCATAAATTTTTGGATTTAGATTAATTCGATGTAATGGGTCCAAGTTACTGCGGACATAGTTCACTATGTGTTTACCGTGTTTGGGTGCCCATCATATTTTACAGATGGGGGCGATATTTTGAACGATTCTATTTTATATTCATCTATTGCTGTACTCTGTAAAATTTGAAAAGTATTTAATTAAAAAAAAAAATATATATATAACTGCTCTAAATCTAATGGTATAAATTGAAATGCGGCAATAAGCGAATTTAGCTTCCATGAAAGTTGTCGTGTGATGTGTGAACGTGGTTTTTGTGCATTTTTTTCAATTGCAAGCACTGTACCTTTCAGCTCAAGTTTAAAAGTACGTACCGTACAGCTATTTTATAGGTACGTACCGTACGTATTTCTCATCTTAGGGTTTATCATTATGTAAAATCGTTTTTTATTAACAGCTTCTTCATTTTATTTTATGTTGACCGGGCCGGGATTAGCCGGTACGTTATTATCAGACCTTTCTGTACGTTGGAAAATCATACCAAGGGGATGAGCTTGCACGGCACCTCGCCAAATCCAATCAAGTTGTTGCAGAAACCTTTCCCATTTTCGGTGCCATGCACAATCTAATTGCAGCGCGGTGCCAGTCTCAAGTCAATTACCAAGAAATAAAATCATGTTTTTCAATTAAAGGATCACGCGTTGCAAGGAACGTAGCCATTTAATGAAGGCTAGGAAAGCTCCACGTGATGTTAACTTAAAGTTGTCTCAGATTAAACCACTTCACGCCGAATGGCTTGTAAAAGTTAACACTGAAATGCAGGACCGGGGTAGTTTGATAAAAAAGGTTTCCATAAAGTTAGAAATCACTGATGCTTTAAGCATGGACTATTTCATGCACGAAAACACATTTGATGAAGATGATATGTGATATTAGACACTGATCATGTACACATATTTTAACATTTTTACTGCTTAACGACCACTTTTCTTACTTACTGTAAAAAAATGGATTTAAAAATTATTTGCTGAAATAAAAAAGTCAAAAAAAAATGGAAAAAATTCATATTTTTGATGGTTTTGAATGCCTTCTAGCGTTCATATTAATGTCCGTTCATAATTATGTCCGTTCATTTAATGCCCGTCTAAATAAGGCCCGATAAGGTATCCCCACACAAAAGACTTGGCTAGCCTGGAAAAATAAATTTTATTTCGTTTCAAATTCATCACCGACACCCTGGCCAAAATTTTAAATTGTGCCCAAAAGGACGAAAAAAAGGACGAAAAAGGTGTACGATTAGAAAATAAGACTCAGACTTGGATTTATTTAAGAGGTGTCTAATACTAATCGCTATGTACTGTACAATGAGATAACATGCCCGTAACTATATAATTTTAGGATTTAGGATCTAACGGTTTTCATGACGTAACATCAAAAACATATGAAATCTAGGTAAACTATAGGTAAAAATATAATATTAATCATAAGCTAAAATGTACTAATCTTTGTATTCTAAATGGGGAAAAAGAAGAAACATTGTCAGTCAGTCGAGAAAATTGTCAGTCAGGCTATATGGCAGCTTTGTAGATGTTGTGACTATGCTAGTAGTGGTCCCAGGCTTGCGACTGGAATTGCGGTGTTAAATCGATTTAATGGTATACCAACGATCCACCTCCCACTTGTTGTTTGGTACTTAGCATTAATAGTGTTAGCTGTAGCCATTTATAGCAAGAATCTTAAAACTAAAGGGGATGACAAGGAAAAGAGGAAGGAAAAAGAATAACGGAACAAACAATTAATTAAAGTATTTATAGGAGCATTAGATATTGTAATTACAAGCTTCAATAATAAATCACTGACTAAAACTTCTAATTAAAATGACACTTGGTACGCTCGCCCATTTTCACTGGTCAGTCTGAACTTCGGTTTAGCACGTTGTACACTTATTCACCTAAGTTTCAGAATTTGTTCAGTTTAGCAGAGTTAGTACCCGTGTTTCAATAAATCAAAAGATATCAGGGGAGTTCTTTAATAATGTTATGGTCATCTAGAATACCGAACTTCCTGAAAACGTTATCATATTTCCTCAGACAACGTTTAATGCCTTTAATCAGTCTATCACGGCTATATCCTCTATCAATTAGAATTTTGAATATTTTGTGAAGATGGGAGGTAAAGATATCCAATCTAGTGCAAACATTACCATATCTAAGAACTTGACTTGAACTTGTAGCCAACCTCGGTTGGGATGTTACTGTGAGGAAATGTAAGGGATACAACATGAAAATTAAAATCATCAGTTTTGTTATACACTGATATTTCTAGTCCTTCTGTGGAAATATTAATATTTAAATCAAGGTAGTTAATGATTTGATTATTGGAACCAGCTCGCTCCATCTCCAATGAATTAGGATAAATATCTTTAATCAAATGATGAAAGTAAAGGTAGTTAATAATAGATAAATCGTCAACATATCGTTTATTATTGGATAATATCTTTGCTAATCCCATTTTCTTTTCCTGAAGTAAACGTTTCATATAATTAAATTCCTTTTTGCCAACAGTGAGATCAGCTATAGGGGAACTTGAATTTCCACCCATAGGAATACCCTTGGTTTGTATGAATACAATCCCACCGAAGACGACATAAGTGTTATAAATAATAAATTTAACAGCCTCTTTTAGGTCATCTTGACTAAAGCAGGCATGAGAATCATAGGTTTTATTGGAAAAGAAACATGTATTACTGTCTCTTTTAGAAATACAAATATATCTATTACGGTCTGAAAGTATTAAATCAACAACTTCATTAATCATATTCTCTACTTCAATCAAGTCTAATCTGGTATAAAGAGTAGTAAAATCATATACTTGTATATTATAAACATCGCTGTTTTTGATAGCTTCAAGGAATTCACTTGAGGAATCTATGCTCCAAAACATGTTTATACCGCTGTTGTTGTAGATTGCCTCGCAGTATTTCTTGAAGTATTTCCTCAAAAGTTTCAGACAACAGTTAACTTGGACGTTAAGTTGTTTCGTAACGCAAAAACGGGCACCTGCAATGAACCTCGCCTTGTTTAAGGGTTCTTATGAAGCTTAGGGTTCCAGAAGATGCGTGCTAGTCGCAAGTTTTTATCTTCAACTTGTACATTAAATCTCTCCTTTAGACTCTCAGATATTTTATTGACATAATGAGTCTCGTCTTCGCTACAGGGTTTATATGTATCATTACCTATACATTCTAGAGTATTAGGATCAAAACCCATTTCATTGACAAGAGTTTTTACATAAAACTTTTTACAAATAAATGAAAAATTACCAGAAGCTTTGTCGATACTACAAATAATGTATTTACTTTTCAGCAATTTAAGACTTCTTTTAACATCATCTTTTTCCAGTGTGTTTTCTTTTATTTCAAATGTTTTAGGAAAGTTTTTCTTGTAATATTCAATACGATTGGAAACTATTGATAACACTTTTTCCTTCCAATCGCTGAACTTTACTTCTTTTTGACAGTACTTTCTACTTTTTGATTTTATAAATTTATCGACAGCTTCGGTAACTGACATATATATCTCATCTGGAGATTTAAATGTGGGAATTCTGTATTTACAACCGTAGGAAAGTACTTCGCTAAGTTCAACATTATCAACAATATCTAAATTACCAGTAACTACATGTCCATGAGGAGGATAATTGAAAGGGGAGGAGTGACAATCGCATGGACTACCTAAAATAGATTTAATATCAGAAATAGAACGTTTCTTTAAGAATGAAGCATAGTTACAAATAGAAAGACTTATAGGATCATTATACTGATAATAAATCTGTAATGGTGTAAAAGACTGAATCAAAATGGGAAGCAAATCAATGACTGAAGTGTCAGAGAAAATAGATTTTAGGTTAAGATTATCAATGAATTTGCAATTAAATGGAACAATTATAAATTCTCTATTACTGGATTCAGATTTGTTCTGATGGTATTTGGGGGAAAATGTTGAACAGAAAGAAGAACATTCGTTGTAAATCAATCCTGAATTATTTTGACTCAAAGAGTAGAGAGTGTCTAAATCTGATAAGCTATAACATTTTAATGTTTTGTATATGGAATGTTCTGAAGAGATGTTATCTTTCAGCCTGTTAATATCAGACTCTATGGTATCCAGATACTTCTTAGGCTGAACTTTCTTCTTTCCATTCCCTCTGCCACGTTTGTATCGAGCAATCTGTCCACTAAAATAATTCATAACCCGATCTTGGGAGATGTTGCCCGTTCCTTTCTTCTTGTCATTAAGACCAAGAGGGAAAAGTATAATTACTTTTAAAAATTAGAAAAACATATACAGAAAGTTTGTACCCTCTGGAACAAATAATAAAAGCGATTTAATAGCTACTGTATAGTTATACTAATATTAATAATAAACGAAAGCACATTAGATTATTTTTCACTCGCTTTTAATAAAATCTGTTGAAAAAAGCGCGTCAATCGAAAAAAGGTTAGCCCAAAGTAAATTATCTTTAACTTCCCGAAACAAATTATCATAGATAAAATCCATTATTGACGAAGCCCATAAAATCTATAGACAGAAAAGCTGGTAAGAATATCAACGAATGAGTTACTCCGAGCACTATGACCGATAAAAACATCCTGAAATAAAACATCTCAAAAAGCTTGGATTTTGCAAAAGCTAGCACTACGATCCCCACAAATTTGGTCAAAGTTATTCCACTGAAAACACTTGGCCCAGTTGTTACCAGAGCGAACTTGGCTTTGCGTCTGGGACAAGTGAACGGGCTGCTGACATACGATTTGACGATGTGAGCAGAAAACTCCACAGCAATACCAACTGACATGATCAGGTTCACTAGGGAGATAGCGTTCAGAGGAATACCGACCATCACCATGACACCCATCATGTCCACAATCACCATGGTGATGGAGATAAGTATAACCAGGGAGGGATAAAACTGGAAACCGAGCATACAGAAACTGACAATCATCACCGCTAAAATGCAAATACTGAGATTTACTGCGGTTTCCGTGACGATTGTATCATATTGTTCGTAGAAATGGTAGGCGGATGAATACGGGAAGACCTCTATATCCTTGTTCAGTTTGTTAATGTGATCTGCTAGTTTAAGAGAGTTTCTCCTGGAAGCGATGAAGTCGTTAGAACCAGATAAACGGGGATGGGATAGGGTAAAGTAGGCGGCAGTTACTCCGAGGTTAGACTGAGCGAACTTCACGGCTGTTCCGTACTGGGCTTTACCACCGTATATACACCTGCGAGTTGTTCACTTTAGTACGGACTTGAAACAGTGTCATTCTCACTGACTCCTTCAAGAGTTAACAATGTGTTGAGCCACGTGAAGTGCAAGCTTAATCTTTGCTCCATAAAACTTCTTAATGGGATCACTATTGACGGAGTGAACGGTGCAAAGTTTTTTCTAGATCTATGTTGGAAATATATATCGGTACTTACATATCAGCATTGGTCTCCGGTACGTCCTCCAGGTACCAGGTAAGGTGTTTGTAAATTTGAGAAAAGTCCTCGTCCTCCCCGCGGGTTCTTTTATCACACTCTGTACAGACCTGCAAAGTTAGGATTATTATCACACTCTATACAGACCTGCAAAGTTAGGAATCTTATCACACTCTATACAGACCTGCAAAGTTAGGATTCTTAGCACACTCTATACAGACCTGCAAAGTTAGGATTCTTATCACACTCTATACAGACCTGCAAAGTTAGGATTCTTATCACACTCTATACAGACTTGCAAAGTTAGGATTCTTAGCACACTCTATACAGACCTGCAAAGTTAGGATTCTTATCACACTCTATACAGACCTGCAAAGTTAGGATTCTTATCACACTCTATACAGACCTGCAAAGTTAGGATTCTTATCACACTCTATACAGACCTGCAAAGTTAGGATTCTTTGATTTATCTATTAAAAAGTGAGAGCACGGCTTTTTCCCCCTTATATCTAAACCCTCCCTGCATCTTACAAGGAATAGAGTAAATGTAAAACTAGATGTGAGATGGGTGACAATTTCGTCAGGACGATCAAGATAAATAATGGAAATGAACAAATGGTTTAATGATTAGTTACCGAATCAATGTCTCTGCTGGGACAGAACACGAGCGAGTCGTTGTGGGCGTGTCTGCAACAGGTCGGGGAAATGATCCAATTATCCTCAAACTGTGAACAGAGAAAAGGTGAAGAGGTCAATATTTCAGTTAGAACAGAAATCAGAATTGATAAATCGTTAAATACTGGTTACAATTTAGGGCTCATAATCACTGAGCTCTTCTAATATTTCTACTCAGTACACAAGGAAAAAGCTTAGACCATCATAATCTCTGTAGTCTGGGTACTATTGCCACGAGCAAGCCAAAATATAATTTTCTACCGAATTTCTAGGAAAGTAATATGAAATACTGAGATTCAGACCTGTGAAAGCCAGGATCCAACAGTGCCCGTCAAGTACTTCTCTCGCTTGTCATTGCTGTAAGACTTCATCAGGTTGTACATCGAGTTGGTCGAGCCCAGCAGCTGGTCATGAATTTTCTCGTCGAAGACATTCAAAGTTACACCCTTGTTCGGGCTCCTAGAGAGGTGTGTATAAGTTCTCTGTTAGTGTTAATTTTAATTCTGGTGTCTACTTGTGAGAAAGACAAACCAACACACTGTTTATGGCTATGTTTTGCAATACGTTTTCCTTTGAAGAACACATCCATGTTGCTATAGAATTGTCTTATATTTGTTGAACAACGCAGGGCTTCCACACTTTAGTGGGACCCTTTTGATCAAAAGAGTTGTTAAAACAGAAACAAATATCTTCAACAGAGAAAACAGACTTCAACATACCTAAAAACAAAGTGCACTTCCGGACCCAGGTTAAGATACTCGAAGATGTCATCAAAGTAAGACTTGACATGGGAATCAGAGGGGAGTGCCATGGACTCATCCAGTCCTATCCCCGTGTGGGTGATGAGAACACCGCTCATCAGAGTGCAAACCAGGAAGAAGGAGACGAGCAGTGCTCGGACCTGACAGGTGGTGATTTGAAAACAAGCCACAACTCTCAGCTTGTTTTATCTGATTTTTAAATATTCAGTACACTTTACCATGTTCGGGAGTAGATCGTTATCGTAATAATATTAATAGTAGTGCCTTAAATCTTAATGGTATAAAACTCTGACTGAGTACAAGGGACAGTTTCAATAAATAATTGTCTGTCATCCGCGCTGAGATTTTGAAATTTAATCGGCGATACACTAATATAGCAAATAATAGCAAATTCCTATCATGGAAAAATATTTAAAAAAACTTTATCTGTTCAAAATTCCGCTATACATATGTATAAAAAAGATGAAAACTGGCAGTAAATAATCCTGCCCGTAACAAATAACTTACGAATGACTTACAATTTTGCCAAGGTAAGATTCGGTAAAGAGCGTCTCCGCCCAAATGTTCTGTATAAAGTAACGAACTGGTCCCTTTCTATTTCTCATGTCAGCATCTCTCAACTTGTAACAGCTGATGTCGCTCCTGTAAAAAAATACTCAACTTTTGAAACTGCTATTATTTAATTCCTTCTTCCCTGCCTTGCCGGAAGATTTAACCAACTCCATATTTGATATTATTCAACATTATGATGATGGGTCCTTAGTAGGAACCGACCGGAAATCCGGCTGAATCCGGTTCCGGCCGGATATCCGGCTTCAAAATCCGGTTCCGGTTCCGGCTCCGGCTGGAAAAAAATTTGCCGGATTTTTGCCGGATTTCAGTTTTTTTTACCGAAAAAAATCAAAACAATATTTTCGGCTAATAATGAACAGGGTAGCCTGAATCGTGGAAAAAAAGTGGTTTTCAGAAAAGCTTTTAAAAAATTTTGACTTAGAAGTTTTTCGGTCCGAGTCGTTCTCGAGACGTACCTCCTGTATCGAGAGCTCCCGCTTCCGAGCTCGTGTTGCAAAGGGGAGGCCTGCCTTCCAAGATCACATTACCGGGGGAAACTTCGAGTCCAGAATTGTGTATCGATGGGTAGGTGCGGACTTCGAAAAACCGAAAAAATATTTTCGGCTAATAATGAACAGGGTAGCCTGAATCGTGGAAAAAAAAGTGGTTTTCAGAAAAGCTTTTAAAAAATTTTGACTTAGAAGTTTTTCGGTCCGAGTCGTTCTCGAGACGTACCTCCTGTATCGAGAGCTCCCGCTTCCGAGCTCGTGTTGCAAAGGGGAGGCCTGCCTTCCAAGATCACATTACCGGGGGAAACTTCGAGTCCAGAATTGTGTATCGATGGGTAGGTGCGGACTTCGAAAAACCGAAAAAATATTTTCGGCTAATAATGAACAGGGTAGCCTGAATCGTGGAAAAAAAAGTGGTTTTCAGAAAAGCTTTTAAAAAATTTTGACTTAGAAGTTTTTCGGTCCGAGTCGTTCTCGAGACGTACCTCCTGTATCGAGAGCTCCCGCTTCCGAGCTCGTGTTGCAAAGGGGAGGCCTGCCTTCCAAGATCACATTACCGGGGGAAACTTCGAGTCCAGAATTGTGTATCGATGGGTAGGTGCGGACTTCGAAAAACCGAAAAAATATTTTCGGCTAATAATGAACAGGGTAGCCTGAATCGTGGAAAAAAAGTGGTTTTCAGAAAAGCTTTTAAAAAATTTTGACTTAGAAGTTTTTCGGTCCGAGTCGTTCTCGAGACGTACCTCTTGTATCGAGAGCTCCCGCTTCCGAGCTCGTGTTGCAAAGGGGAGGCCTGCCTTCCAAGATCACATTACCGGGGGAAACCTCGAGTCCAGAATTGTGTATCGATGGGTAGGTGCGGACTTCGAAAAACCGAAAAAATATTTTCGGCTAATAATGAACAGGGTAGCCTGAATCGTGGAAAAAAAGTGGTTTTCAGAAAAACATTTAAAAAATTTTGACTTAAAAGTTTTTCGGTCCGAGTCGTTCTCGAGACGTACCTCCTGTATCGAGAGCTCCCGCTTCCGAGCTCGTATTGCAAAGGGGAGGCCTGCCTTTCGAGATCACATTACCAGGGGAAACCTCGAGTCCAGAATTGTGTATCGAGGGGTAGGTGGGGACTTCGAAAAACCGAAAAAATATTTTCGGCTAATAATGAACAGGGTAGCCTGAATCGTGGAAAAAAGTGGTTTTCAGAAAAACTTCGAAAAATTTTAACTTAAAAGTTTTCGGTCCGAGTCGTTCTCGAGACGTACCTCCTGTATCGAGAGCTCCCGCTTCCGAGCTCGTGTTGCAAAGGGGAGGCCTGCCTTCCGAGATCGCATTACCGGGGGAAACCTTGAGTCCAGAATACAGAATAGTGTATCGAGGGGTAGGTGCGGACTTAGAAAAAACCGGAAAATATTTTGGGCCACCTCCCTGGGCTAGCCCCCGGCTATAATCGCAAAATTGGCAGTATTTAACCTTCTGATTATGAAATACGAAATATGAAGGTCACGTGTTCAGGGTCTGGGTAGCTACTTAATTAGCTCATTACTGCAATCACGTGACTCAGCTCTAGACGCCAGACGGTGATTAGTACTGTACTAGACAGTGCCTGCTTACGAACAACCTTATTAAGCACCTCTGGTTGTAAGTCACGTGACCCAATGATACTCAGACTTGCATGAAAAAAGGGAATTCGCACAAACGCGCTCAATCAGGGGTCTGGCAGCATATGCCAATTAGATATCATTTCTGATTATTACTCGTCCAGTGTCGTGACTCGTGTCTACTCGTGTTATATTGTGTCTGCTACGTACTGCTTGTTTAAGCAATGTCTAGTAGTAGATAGGAAGATTTGTAAAAAAACTATATCTGTTCGGACGTTGAAGCCGCCCTAAGTCGAGTCGAGTAGTAGTAAATCTAAAACATCGTCCGTCTGGTTGTTCTACTCTGAAGAAAATGGGATCCCTTATGCAAGCTGCAAGAAGTGCTCGATGAAGATTAGGCGTGGAAAGGAAGGAAATTTTCCGGCAACATCCGGCAAAAACAGGCAAAATCCGGCAAAATCCGGCTGCCTTTTATTTCACTCTAAAACCACCGGTTCCGGTCCGGCAAAATCCGGCTTGCCGGATTTGAGATCCAAATCCGGCTGAATCCGGTCCGGCAGCCAAAACCCCAATCCGGTCGGTTCCTAGTCCTTAGTTTATACAATATACACGTTCTCAACACAGTAAACACTATCTCCATCATGGAAATCTGTGGAGTGTGGACCCACTTTAATAGTAACCAGTGTAATATACCAGAACAATGCTCACACCCGTTAATTTGACCAACTCTAATATTTTAATTCTCCTCCTCATGGCATGAATATTTGTTGTTTTATTTGTGCTCCTTATCATCACTCTTAATTCAAACATTCCTTTGCAGTTCAATTGTTCTACTTGAGATTGTAGGAACCTTTAAATTCGATTTACACAAGGAAAATGCGAATTAGATGGATACAACTTAGATTTATCATTTGGATTCTTTGCACAAATCTCGTGGCATCAGCTGCAATCTCGAATGAAGATTCTACAGAACCCTCTGCTAAAGATATAATAACTTCTGGTGCTGATGAAGCTGTCACCATTGCCTCAAATGCAACAACAGTAACCTTAGAATCAACAACAGCTGTTTCAACTTCAGACACCAGCAGTAGTCCTTCAGCAATATTCACGACTAAAAGCAGTAGTCCTTCAACCACATTTCCTGCCACAAGCACAAGTTCGACAACTGCTACAAAATCGACAACATCTGCTGCTTCATCCTCAGGCACAACAACATCCCCAACTTCATCTTCAGGCACAACAACGTCCCCAACGTCTTCTTCAGGCACAACAACATCCTCAACATCATCTTCAAGCACAACAACATCCCCAACTTCATATTCAGGCACAACAACATCCTCAACTTCATCTTCAAGCACAACAACATCCTCAACTTCATCTTCAGGCACAACAACATCCTCAACTTCATCTTCAAGCACAACAACATCCCCAAGTTCATCTTCAGGCACAACAACATCCTCAACTTCATCTTCAAGCACAACAACATCCTCAACTTCATCTTCAGGCACAGAAACATCCTCAACTTCATCTTCAGGCACAAAAACATCCCCAAGTTCATCTTCAGGCACAACAACATCCTCAACTTCATCTTCAGGCACAAAAACATCCCCAAGTTCATCTTCAGGCACAACAACATCCTCAACTTCATCTTCAGGCACAACAACATCCTCAGCTTCATCTTCAGGCACAACAACATCCTCAACTTCATCTTCGAGCACACCGATATCCCCGACCTCATCTTCAGATACAACAACATCCTCAACTTCATCTTCAGGCACAACAACATCCTCAACTTCATCTTCAAGCACCACCCCAAGTCTCTCCTCCAGCACCCCTTTTTCAACCACGTCCAAAACTAGCACAAGTTCCGAATCCAGTCCTTCTATATCCTCCACCGAAGAACCCGAAAAATGCTCCATATCTGGAAAAGTCCCCTGTCCTGGTTACCCTGAAGAGTGTGTGTCAGAGGACTGGTTTTGTGATTTCGTGGACGATTGTCCGGAAGGAACTGACGAATCGAGTTGTGACGGAAATACTGGGTACAACCACAGCAGAAGTGATGGGTTTGATCAGGGGGTTGTTAATGGTGTAATTATTGTTTACCCGGATGAGCCCACAAGTCCACCAATCAATAAGGATTGTGGAGGGATGATTTGTGATTATGAGTCTGGTACGTGTGTGCCAAGAGGTAGAATCTGCGATGGAGTCTTCGACTGCAAAGGTAATTTTTACACTGTCCTAATAATCCATATTTTATGTGCATATTTTTAGTTTACGGTATGTTTTCTGAGCGTACCTTATTTTAATTTGTTGTAATTTGATTTATCTTTCTTGCTCTACGGGCCATGTTTTGCAAGTGAAATTGTTCATACACATATTATGTTATTTAGAATATATATTCGCATGTATCCACATTGAATTTTTCAAGGATTAATCATCACCTATAGACAGCATGAGAGTAGGCCCTGCCATCTCGAAGTGATAATAATAATTAATTGTTTCACATATCATGTGTTCTGATTATACAGTACGTTCAAGATATTTAAACGTATTTTAGAGAATTCGTAAACAATTTTATTTCATTCGATTGTGTAATCATGTATGTATTGTTTGAAAAGATTTTCAATAAAAAAAAATTAAATTTCTGTATGTGATTCTCAATGTCGGTCAATTCTGTTTAGTCAAAAACTTGATAGTTGATCGTAAAACGCGAGGCTGAGGCTCTATTCAACAGAATTTAACATCCGAATTTGTTTTACCATTAACACTGTCTGAATCATATGTCACGTGACATCTTTAATATGAAGATTGCCTGCACTTCATTTTAGTTACTAATAAGCTTAAATATTTCCTCCCGCTCCTTAAAAAACTCTTTTTAGGGGGAGAGGACGAAACGAAACTGTTGTGTCTGCACAAAGAAGTTGGTGATGTCACTGACGGAATAGCATTATTTGTCGTGAAACTAGGATTGTTTGCCGCCAAAGCAAAGGAAGCAATCACAAGTTCATTCAAAACAGTTTTTTGCGGGCTGTTCAAATCACAAAGTTGTAGCCTCCACATGTAGATTGTTGGCAGAAGACTTTTAAATTAGCTGCATAATATGTATGTGAATTGTGAGTATTGATTTGTTGTGATTGAAAAACTGTGACAAATTTTTACAAAAAGGTGTATATAACTGCAGTCGGGGTCCACTATAGAATGGAGGAAATAGGAATGATGAATTTAAAGATAAATATAACCATTATAGTTATACAGCTATAACTATGACTATGAAAGTAAAACAAAAAAGATCGTCGCATCACCAACCCAATACGGATAAATCAAGAGATAAAAACAATGAAATGTAACTAACCTGCTAGCGAGTTCTCGTTTAGTGTCGATAGTCAAGATAACAACAAAAGCTGAGATTTGGAAAAGGAAATCAATGAAGACTGCCAGCGCTGCATTCCAAGCAAAGTTCTGCACTGCCGGCATTGTCGACAGTGCTCCAAGAGAAAATGCAACCTGATATAACAATAACTCATGTTGCTATTTAATATTTTAATCCAAATAAAACGTAGATCTAACTAAATATTTCCCTCCAGCTCTCTTTCCTCCAAATAAATCGTAGATCTAACTAAATATTTTCCTCCAGCTCTCTTTCCTATCGGCTATGTCATATCCCCACTCTGCAGTACTCACAGTTTGGCATGTTGAGCTCATGAGCATACTGGGACCCACATCTTCCAGAACGTCTCTCAATAGGTCTTTCAAAAAGTCCGGTTCCTTTTTATGTTCTTTTCTCTCTTCCAGCTTCTTCTGTAGAGACTGAGAGGAAAGAAAGGTTAGATGTTTATAAACTGTTGTTTTCGTGCAAATTATGGTCATGTGGTTATAGCTGATGATATACAGGTGTCCCAAAAAAGACGCCCCAGTGAGAAACCCTCCTCATTTCCTCAACTTTCCTTTAATGGTACTCGTGTCTTAGTATATTTACTATACCAAGGAGGGTTGGGAGATTCGTATGTGACTTCTGAAAACTTAAGCAAACCATTTTGAGTCCTCATTTTTAAAATGTCAAAAATTGTCCGAAATAGTCCTCAAATTATGGGCTCGTCCACCATTCGGAGCGCTGGGCCTTTTGTCATGAATTTGATTGCAAACTGTTTCTTTTTGTCTCATCTTACTCCTGAACACCTCAGTTGATGCTAAAACTAAAAGTACCAAGAGGTGCTCACAAATGGTCATTTCCCCAGCAGGCCTGAAACCCAAAAATGGACGATAGGCCGAATTTGCATAAATTATGGATTTTTTTTATGCGATAGTCATTGATTTTCTTGCTTTAATGGGCCCACATGTTCCTTGGTAAGTGTACTGACAGAGTAAGGTAGCCACAAATTTAAAATAATATGAAAATAGGGCAAAATTAGGCCCCCCCCCAGAGATAGAATACCAACGTCCGAAACCTAATTTTCCTGTTACTGTGAAGATTATTCGAACTATCAGAGGCGATCCACCTCCGAAGTACCTTGAGATTATCTGTGTCACAAAGGAAAATAATCCTCCTCTCCCTCCGTCTACTCCACATCCTACAGTGTTGGAGGATCTCGTTAAAATCCCTGTTCCTGATAGGAAGATGGAGTTTGGTACTAAGAGACAGACGATACCTTTAGAGTTGGTAGCACGACTAACGAGTATAAACCAAGAAAGGTCCCGATTATCCTTGAAGGTCTGAAGAAAGAAGCAAAAACCTGTGGAGACCTCCATCAGTTTCAGGCTTTATTGCAGGCGCATATATCTCGGGTACGTGAGCTGGTGACAGCCAACAGAAGCATCGCCGTGTCCTATTGTAAAAGCTTTAAGGAGAGGTACGCACGCCAGCAAGTTCGCCATCTTCATGGCAAGGACATAATAAAGCCACTGTGTTAGAAGTAGCTTTTGCTTGAAGCACTTTAAGAGGGTTCCTTGACAGCTTGCTAACCGTGTGTAATGAGGTATAGAACAAAAGGCCAATAAAACCATAGGAAGAAGGACTAGTAGTCTAAAATGACGTGTACACTCGTGAAAGGAGAGTACAACACTCTTAATAGGGATTTGGTTGGGATCAGATTAGAGGGTTAGGGTTTCGAATAGTCGTTTAGGGCCACCTAGAGAATGGTTAGAAAAGTCACGTGATAGTTGAGTGTTGAGTGATTAATCATAATCCGGAGATTACAACTAGAAAGGACATCAGGGATCCTCTCTCGCACGCGCAAGAAAATATCACCATGGGCCGACCTGATAACGTTTAAAACTTACAATCATCGTAATTAACGCATGCTGCTACCAGTACCATAAGAAGTTCATTTTTCCATCTTAATCTCTAGAGTTTTAAGGGGTGTTACATTGACCCTACGCCCTTCCCACCCACTCACCAGCCGGCCCCCTCCATAAGCCCTAGACCCCGCTCCGTAAGCCCTAAACCCACACCAGGTACTAGACGATATGTCCGGCTCAATGACCGTATTCAGACAGCAAGTGGTGACGTTTGTGGAGCAGAAACTGTCCGTACCTGGTCCGGGAACCACTGTTCAGCTGACTGAACTTCAGAACTTCCTGTCCGTACTGATACCTGACGTCAACAAGTTCCTTGATAGTTGCCGCGCTTTCCAGCAGGTATAAGTCAGTTTAATTGAGGGGTACATTTACTTTGTAAGAGATCGTTTACATGTTTTATTTTTATTTTTTACTTCTAGTGAAAAGTGTGTCAAACAGTATATATACATTCAATTAAATCAAGTGATGCAATTGGCAGAGCACTATAAAATTTTAAGTGTTGCAATTGCCAGAGCACAATTCATTGCTACCAATAATTTTTTCAAAAGCATTTTAACAAAACACATGATCTACTCCATTATAGGGGCAGGGATGAGGTTGTATGAAACTTCTGATAGCTGAATCTCACGTTTGGTGTCCACCTTCTTTCCTCGGTACCCTCGTAGAGCAATAAGAGTTGTTCTCAACATTGCAAATCTTATCCTAGTTCTCACGTGTCTTACTACATCGCAGTACCTTTCCTTCCTTTTTCTTGCAATGAGGTCTGCTACTCTGTTGACGAACTGCTTACACTCTTTAGACATTCCTCCAGATGTGAGGAATACAGCCGGGGTGAAGGTAGCCTTCTCCACATTCAACACTCTCTCCAAGTACTCGTCCTTCTTCTCCTTCTCGTTCTCTTCGTATACTTCTTGAAGAGTTTTTGTCCTGTTTGATAAGCAATTGGGGTGTGAAACCCTTATGTCAAGAAAGGTCTTATCAAATGGAGTCCAAACTCCTCTAGCAGATACATCAAGCCGAGCTTGGTCACCTGTTATAGTCTTGGGGTTGAGGCAGTCACCCTCATTTACCTTCTGTAGCTGGGGTTCAACTTTTACATCATGACATACCTCACGAAGGAGATTTGCCATTGTGTCTCTGATGTTGTTGTGGGTCATTATCACGTAGCCCCCTAGCTTACAGGTGAGAAGGTGGTCAAGATCACTTGTTTTCCCACATCCACAGGTGATGGGAGTGTTTGGTATCCACCAACTGTAGCGTAAGCAGACACTGTCTCGAAACTCCTCTTTGTTCAGAGTGTAGCCATACTGCTGAAGTGGCAATGTGTTAAGTCAAATGGACGCTCCCTTTTCTTTTGCTGCTAGTAATGCTCTCTTAGAGGAGGTGCCACATCTTTCAGCTATAGCAATAAACTTGGCTTGGAGCTCGGAATTCTTCAATGTTTTGATCATTTCTTTCCCCGATTTGGTGAGGTTACTGGATGCAGTGTAAACTTCCTGTTGGTCCACTATTGCTTTTGTTAGCTCAGTGGTGAGTAGCTTGGAGGCTGTATACTCAGAGTGGCATTCTTCGTGGGGTTTACCAATGCCCAATCCTCCCAATCTTATTGGTAGACTTAACACGTCTCTTTCTAAGTCTGAGATCTCCCTGCCCAGCATCTTTGGCAGGAGCTTTTGTCTTATCTCATGTTCTAGCGGCTCCATGGCTTCAGAGATGTGGGGCACAGTCCTTTGAACAAACTTCCATCTGTGTTGGATGCCAGAGATGTAGGCTGAGTAGGCTGCTTGAGGCTCAGATTCTGCAATATCAGCTAGCATCTTGATGTCGTCACACCACCCTTGAACCTTATCGGTAATGTACTGATCTTTGACACCTGTATTGCCAAGTACTGCTCCAAGATGCCTGGTACCTGATGTTATTTGCATATTGAACTCTCCAAACAGTGCCTTGGCCTGGTCAATCATCTGAGGGTCCTTTACTACTAGAATGCTCTTAGATGGATTAGGAAAATAACCATACTTGGGTCCTACTTGGAGCAACTCCTTCCACCACTTATACACTGCTTCCAATTTCCCACCAGCAGCACTATCATCTGCAAACCACACTTGCTTGATAATGTTTCGCAGGCGGTCAATAAGTGGCTTGGTGCTAAGAGCATATCCACCAGTGGCAATATTGTCTCCTTGAGTGAAACCTTCACTGCTCTTGATGATCACTCCCTTGCTATTAGCTACATAGAGGTCTGTTGGTTCCCTGTAGGTGTTCTCAAAGTATTTAGCAAGTGGTGGGCAAACGTACTGCATGTTGTTGGTAGCAGCGGTCCTGTTGAGAGCGTTGAATGCGTTGGAAGCATCCACTAGCAAAATGGCTTCCGTGTCCTTGTTATCATGAACCTCTGCCATAGCGTGTATTGCTGCTTCAATTCCCCCTTCGTGACCTGCACATGTTTGAAGTGGTCCTGCATCCTTCTGAACATCTTTCTTTAACACCATCATCACACACTTCCCAATAATCCGTCTCAAGATCTCACCAATACCAATTGGCCTAAGGCCTGGACATTTATCTAGGGGAACCAGTCTACCAGCTGTAAGCACTGCTATTGATTGGAAATTAATATCTTGAGTACATATGCGCCTGGCTAATCTGGCAATTGCTTCAGCGAGAAGATCCTGGGAATTTCTAAAAGCACAACAGCATAAGATGTGTTGCCAGCACTCAGAGTCTACAAGCGTTGGGCCACCTGAGCCTGATGTCAGCTTAGCAGCCTTTTTCACTAATTTTGAGTCAATGGCTTCAAATATAACTTCTTCAACTGCTGCTTTATCACCTGTGATCAGAATTTCATCTGTTGCAGACTTAGCAGAGGGGTGCTTTTCCTTTAGTTGTTCAATGACCATTTCATCAACATCCAACAGTCCTCCACATTGTCGGTTGATGAGCCTGGTTGCTGCTGATACTTTGCCGTGGATCATAAGCTGTGCAAACCTGGTGGCAAGGGATCTCTCCTGGGCTTTACGTGCCTCTTCAAGTCGGTTCTGAATCTCACGCCCTTCACTGATTATAGCAGTTAAGTCACCAGATTTCCACAAATTCAGCCTTTTATCAAGATATATAGTGTGATCCTTAGCCCGTGAGTTTTTCAATGGTTTTTGAAGCATCATTGGAATGAAGATAAATAATAATTTTAAGGCCACATGTTTTATTGGCAATTTTTTGACACCACCTGCACCCCCGCCCCCTCCGTAAGCCCTTTTACAAATAGCTCCGTAAGCTTTTCCAAACCCCCTCCCCTATGCTTACGTGATAGGTGAACGATTCAGCCAGAGAAAAAATACACAGTAAATATCAAATTATGTTATGAAAGATATGAGAATTTGGTATAATAATAATAATAAATTCTTTTTACAAGTCCCGTTTTCAAGTACATACCAAGAAGAATATTACCAGTGTGTTATGCTGTAGGTGCAGTTGAGGTATAAATCCAGAGAAAAGTCAGGATTAAGGTGGGCCTT